TCATCAGCATTCTCTGCATCTTCCTCTTCTACAGGTACATAGTCATCATCATCACTTTCACTGTCAGAGTCTGCACCTACAACAAGATCACCTCATAACAGTTCATCAGCATCATTTGCCTCATCATCAGCATCATCATCTGTATATTCCTCTTCAACATGTTCATAATCATCATCATCACTCTCAGATCTCTCATCATCAACACCTCTAGGAACACCATCAACAGTGCTGGCAGTAACATGAGTATCATATTTCTCAGCAGTAGGTTCAATAGGCTCATCCTCTTGCTCAGGAGTAGGGGCAGTATCATGGATATCATCCTCCTCAGCATTAGGTAGAGTGCCATCAACATCCTCTTGGTCACCAATAGGGGCAGTACCATCAACATGCTCTTGCTCATCACTACCTACAGTTCCAGCCTCTTTGTATCTACCAAAATCCAACTCCAAAACAAGGGAAGCATCATCTTATCCATGCTCCACATAAATGTCTAACTCACCCCATTTTGCAGCTTCCTCAATTAAAAAAATAGTAATTGCATCATCACTCAACAATCATAAAGCTTCCATGGGTTCATGACATGGTTTATAATACAGGGCCATAATGTTGGAGTACCTATCCTTCTTAATGTACTTGAGGAGGTGAGGGTAAGAGATGTAATCTACATCAACTTCAATTCTCTCTACTTCTCCATTAACATACCTCAACATGGGCCCTCGGACAAAATCCCTCCCCCCCATGATTTATGTATAACTTCCAAAAAAACCTAGCCGCACTCGTCTGCACAGATTCTTTCTGATTTCGGGCATGCCTAGGCGGAGAAACTAACTATGAAGGGATGTTCTTTGGTTCAACATTAAGGTCTTGAAGATGCTTAGTATTCGAAGATGCTTGTGAAAAAAACGCGGGTGTAGAAGAAAACCGTTTAGGTTTTTGAGGTTCAGACAACCGTTTTGAGGAACATTCAAAATAGGCCACATGGATATTATTTATCCAATTTCATTCCATGTCACCCCACATCATCTTTAATAATTGCTCACCGGATGTAACCAGTTGGTAACAGGTCAAAAGGGTCCAATTGCATTTATTTTTCGGGTTAAAGTGTGTATTAGTGAGGTCAACAGGTTTGGGGGCTCAATTGCAAATATGCAAATAGTTCAGGGGCTTATTTGCCACTTTACGACTTTATCCGATTCAACTCTCGTCCACAAGTTTTGTTTGTAATCGTCGCTTTCCAATCACTTCAACTACTGAGTCGAGTTATCAGATCGCCTGTAATTCACTGATTGCACTTCCATTGCATCAATACGAATAAAGTGATGAAGAAGATTATGAGCACTTGATTAGTTTATGTATAAATAAATTTATGTCCCAATCAAATTTGATTGTCGGGAGGAATGAAATTTATGGCTACCCTAACTCAATATACTCAAGTGTACATTATGAATTTCGTTCGGTCCTAATTTTGTTCCGAAAAATAAGCGGCATAAAAGGCCAGGTAAAATGGATGGGGATATTGTGTTCTCTACGTGATGGGGGTTAATAAAAGGATAATGGGTGTGTATGGCATTTAGCATTTAGTGAATGTGTGATTATGTTAACGAGATCTTAATAAGTTAACGGATTGATGGAAGATGTTTGGTAATTTAGTTGTTTGCCCATAACAGTTAGTAGAAAGCAACATATTTCAAAACGTTAATTCAAAATTCTCATATTTATCGAAACTATCACATTTTCATTTGATCAATCAATGATTCGTTCAAAAATGCTAGGAAGAATAGCACCAAACAGTGTTTTTCACTTATTGAAAATTACTAAAATCGCTATTTTTTAGTTGAAACGCCATTGTCCAAACGCCCCCTTTTGCTTTATCATATCAAATCACATTTTGTGTGAGGTTTAAGCAAAAAATGTTATCAAGTCGATGTTGTTGGAGTAATTAACAAAGCTCACAAACCATAGGACACACCTGACCTAGTCCGTCCAAGTGTCCAACCTTACCCACCCACAACCTTTTGTTCCGGATAACTTATGCCTCCTTGATTTCAGTCGGTCTCCAACATGTTACGAGATCAACTTAAACAACATCATTAGGAGCATGTTTAGTTATTTGTTACGATTGTTGAGCTTAATCGATCCGATTTTGATGGATTAATTCTCAGTTTCCAAGAACTCACACTTCACCCTTACGAATTGAGAGAGTACATTAGTTGTTTCTCACTTCTCAATATAGTCTATACACCTCTGTGTAAATTGAAAGAATTATTATAGGCGATACAAAGAAATGATCAAGTTGTCCTCGAACTAGAAGATCGTTATTTGAGAAAAAACTCTTAAGTTTATAACTCCTTAGTGACTTGAATTCAAGGTCTTTATCAGATACACCAATGGTTGAATGAGCTGAAGTTGTGGCTAAATTGGTTGATGTGTTGAATTATAAAATATTACGGAGTATATGACAGTTTACTATTAGAAAGAGCAAGTTAAATGAAAGATGGTGTTCAGCAAATGTAGCAAAAAATACCTTAACACATTTATTTTGGTAACTTCACAATTAAGAACGCAAATATATAAAAAAAAAAATGTTTTGGGGTAAAAAGAACTGGCTAGTGAGAATGAAAAGCTAAATTGGATTAACAAATGAGCTCTAGATTCCTAAATAAATTGAGAGTACTAAAAATGAAATTCAAGCACGGATATGTTGATCAATATTCAGTAATGATTAAAATGGTTTAATTTGTTAAATTGTGCAATAATTTTAAATATGTAAAATAAAGAAAACGTCAAACTGTTATATATATGCAGCTAAAGGTATCTCTCGGCTTATTCTTTTTTATCATCTTACAATCTAGCAAAATGAAATAGAAAAACTAATAATTTATACAATGTGTGACATGGTTAGATAAAAAAAAGATTACTAAACATGCAAATTTTTTTGCTGGACTGAACATGCACTTGATATCAACTTTTAATGTAGTATTAAGTTTTTGAATTCTTCTTACGTTTTCATACGTTCATATTTTCTCTATTTCCCTCTGTGTTATTCTTCCGATTTTGGGCCCGTTTGGATGCTGGCGGTTTTCCCCGATCCGCCAAAAATTTACAAATGGAAACGCTGCATAATGCAGCGGTTTGGAATCCACCCGCCATTAAACAAACAGGGCCTTTGTATACAGTCTTACCGTAAGTAACCAAACACATAAGCTCTATTTTGAGAAGTGAGAAGGGAGATGGACACTTGTGAGATATGACCCTATCACTTTGTTAGTTAGTTACTCAATAATGGAAGGATCATCTTTTAGGGTGTTTATAAACTGAATATTTCATAAAATTAATTCCACTTTAGGTCCTCCGAGTTTTGTGTCATTTCCATATTTAGTCCTCATCTTTCACTTTATCCGTTTTTGGTACCTGACTATTGTTTTCTTGACCATTTTCGGTCCATCTCTGGGCATTTTTACTACCGAAAAAGGACTATATATGGTCAAGAAAACAATAGTCAGGTACCAAAAATGGATAAAGTGAAAGACGAGGACTAATTGTGGAATTGGTGCAAAACTCGAAGGACCATAAGTGGAATTTCTTCTAGAATCATATTCCTCATGAAGGGTCACCTTAGAAACAAGTCATATAAAACTTGTTTCTTCTCGCCATCATTACCCAATTTTAGTGATATATAGAAGGGCATAGAGAGCTTAAGAGAATTATTTCGCAGGGGTAAAGTTTAATAGAATCCGTTTGGTAACACGAAAATCGGTTGATTCAGCTGATTCTGCTGAAATTTATGAAATTCTGTGTGAAGTAGTTGCATTGGCTGATTCTGCTGATTTAAGGAAAAATTATTTTTGAAATATATTTTATTAATAAAATAAAGAAAAAATTATATGTAAAAATAGCTAAAATGGTCATCTACAATAACTTTAACAAATACAGCCAGAAAAGTAACTACAACCTTACTTTTTCTTATTATTACACAATTCAGCGTGCGAAAACTAAAGTAACATGTTTGATGAAAAAACTGGCTGATAAGCTTGATAACAATTTTATCAAACGACCTCCAATACTTAATTTACATTTTTTAATTTATGCATATTTGGGGGGCGTATGCACCTTTGTAACTCCACAACTCGTAAGTCGTAACATTGAAATTTGATGTGCTATATGTTCTGTAAGTCTAATGAAACCAGGTATAAACTATATAAAATCCCAAACTCTTCGTGGCTTGTTATTAGAGTTCCGGAAAATGGGATTTTTTGAGGAAAAAAAATTAAAAATGGCCCGTGCTTCGAAAATAAGAGTGCCATTAATTAGCTACTTCGTGTTGTACTAGTTCATCACTCTCCCATTTGCCCTTCTCTCCCTCAGTTCCTCCCAAATGAAAACCTTCATTGTATGGGAAGACGGGTTTCTCCATCAAAAATCATATTAGGCAGTGAAATGATCAGCCCACGGGCCATGGCAAATGGTCCCGTGTACGGCCTTGAACCCCGAGTCTTGCTTAAAAGAGACAATTTATTTATTTTTTGTCACGGGTTTACGAGATAAACATATACATAGAGAATATAAAACAGGGAATAACTCTTAAAAAGTGGCAGGGAATCGACTTTCATGTAGCTTAAGCCAACATTTGAAGCAAACTATGGTTGTGTTTGGACATGTTTCTTAGAATTGCTTCATGAAGCAATTCTCTTTCATGAAGCATAAAAATAAATTGGAGTGTTTGGGTGAAAATGTAGAAGTGCTTTAGGGTGCTCCAAATTACTCCTAAAAGCAGTGTTTTTAGAAGCGGGGGAGATCAACTTCTGAAAAATTGATTCTGATTCTACTTCTGCTTCTAAAAAGCAAGCAAAAGCAGAATTAGATCCAAACACCCCCTATGTATGGAACATGACAATATCGACTCCTCGAACAAATTATTTCCAGATACACCTTAAAATAATAACAAAAACAAAAAACAAAACAAAAAATGATATTGTTTATGAAAGTGTTCAAGTGATGAATAATAATTCTATTGCACTTATAACTTATTACATTACCCGTACAAAATTAATTTTCTTTAACAACAAAAAATATATATCAAGGGTACACTCGTACTGCATCTCTTAGTAGATGTAGTGTAATGAAGTAACAAAAATATTGCCAAACACTACATAGAAATAACTTCTATGTTTCTTTTCTAGATAGGAATATGTACTCCCACCTTGAAATGAAACTGTCATATCACGGCAAAAGTATTGCCACATTAATGCCCGATAACGCCACAAGATGACAGTATAATTTCCAGATGAAAGTACATACTACTCTTATTTAGGGAAATCAACTTGATTTCAGAAAATTTCCCTAGAATTTTTAACACCGCACTCCTAGGATGCATGGTCTACTCCTCTTGCAAAACATCCTTCTTCTAAAAGCAAACGGATCAGAAATACAAACCCCACACCAGAGATTCTGTTTGAATCCCCAATATGATGGCTCAAAACTCAGCATTGCCAGGTGTTCTAGGAAAAGGTATAGCATCCCTTATATTATCTAACCCGGTTGCAAATTGCACAAGCCTCTCAAAGCCTAGTCCAAATCCAGCATGAGGAACTGAGATACATACAAACAGGCATCAATTTTCAGTTATTTTCCCCACAAAATCAGACAAACGAGTATGTCTTGCAGTAACTACTGTTTCACTAGGAGTGTGATATAGCAGTAAATATTTACTCCCTCCGTCCCATTTATATTGTCCCGTTTTACCATTTCGGGAAGTCCCACTTAAATTGTCCCATATCATATTTGGTAAAGTTTGTGTGGCTCAAAAGCATTCTTACTTTATTCTTACTTTATCAATTAATATCAACCACACACACCCACTTTTCTTAAAACTCGTGCCACCCTCTTCCGTCCCAATATAAAAGGGACGGAGGTAGTATTAGGAAAGTTACTCGCATCTGTCTCATTTTAAGGTTTCCTGTTTGGTTTACAATGTTTAATCCATAATAAAGTCAACTCTATCCTAATTATGCATATTAATAATTAAAACTTATATATTCAGAAGCAGTTGAATATGATAAAATTATTATATAAAATCATACTTCCTCCATCCCGAAATTAACTTCCGGGTTTGATTTCAAGGGTTTTTAGGTAGGAAAATAGTAAAAGTTGACTTTCGAAGAGTACCCTTGCATAGTAAAGAGAGGTCCAAATTAATTAAATGAGGTAAATGAATAGTAAAAGTAAAGGGTAAATGGGTACATTGAAAGCAAGAACTTACCAAAAGTAGAAATAAAGTAGGAAGTTAATTTTGGGACATCCCAAAAAGGAAAGGTGGAAGTTAATTTCGGGACGAGGGAGTATATTAAAAAAGACTGCAATTTGGATCCAATTTATACAGTTTTAATATACAACTTAAAACAAGTGAGCAACTTGAGTAATAGTGTAGGGTTATGAGATTAAAGTGGGTATTAACTCAAAAAGATGTGGAGACTACAAAACCTGAACCATAACGGCGTAGATCAAGATACCACCAATAGCTTTCTTTATTCAGATTTAAGTCGTCTAAGCGTTTTTCCAGATACTCAATTCGTTCCTCTCTCTGGCTTCCACCCATAAGCTCACCCACCTTAAAGGAAACAACGGAATAGGATAAACGATTGAAGAGTATGTTCTTATGGCTGGATTGGCCACATACTTTATGATGTTAGAGAGACAACAGGAGCTATACTCAAAATGAGTGCACAGTTTAAACACTCTGTATATCCTTTGCAGTTTTTGAAAACTTATAAATAATTACTTTTTTATCATCTTTTTACAGAATATATTAAGCAAATTATTATTATTAGTCATCTTTAACATTTTCTTTAGCATTTAAGCTAATTTTTCTTGAAGAGAAACGTTAGGTGCATATTTGCACCATGAAGAACTATAAGGGCTAATTTGATCCTAGAGAAAACTCCAAGGGCATGCATATTTGCAGATTTTCCCATATGAATAGTAGTGAATTAAGGTATGCTACGAGAGGAAGGAAAAAAGGCAGGATTGTCAAATGAGTAGTTTAGAATAAAAGGTCAAAGAAAAACATGTGCTCTTTCAATCCCAATATTATATCCTGGTTTGACTTCACACGGCTTTTAATAAAGTGGAAAGTTTGTAGTTCAATTTTTCAGGGAAGAGAGCAACAATATCACCCACAAAATGATATCTTTAAAAGGAAAGAGGGGATTATTTAGGGCTAGAGAGAAAAGGAAAGAACGAGATTTATTATGACATTCAGAGAGCGTTATTTTGTTGACTGTACACATAAATAAGGATATCAATGGAAAAATAAATGCATACCCGAGGAACCAACAAATCCATAGCTGCAACAGTCTTTCCGTCATCATTCTCGCGCATGTAAAATGCCTTGATATCCTGCAAGTTTTTGATGGGGAACCCACAAATAATTGTTATCTGACACCACTTTATATTGTTAATCAATATAAGTCAATTTCAAAATTATTACCTTTGGATAATCTCTTATTATAACAGGGCAACCACCAAACACTTCCTCCGTGATATAGCGTTCATGCTCACTTTGCAAATCACATCCCCAGTTCACCTACAAAAATGCATAATAGATTAGTAAACCCTATAGCAGAATAATCAGTTGGGCATGAACATTAGCCCTTGTTTGGTAGTGGGATGGCAGAATGAGAGGAAGGTCGGAGTGATGTTCATCTTATTTATTTATTTATTCCGATGGTTGGGAAAAAATAAAGATAACATTTATGAAATGTTGAAATACATGGTTTTTCTCAACGCATAATATTTCATTAATCTAAGACTAGGATGTTTTTAATTGGACTGTAATTTGCTGGTCTGGTCTGGTTAAGTCTGGTCTGGTCTGTTTATGTCTGGTTTGGTCTGGTATGAACTGATCTGGTCTGATAAATGTCTGGTCTCTTCGTATTTTATAACTACGGAAGTCTGGTCTGGTCTGGTATGTTTAAGTATGGTCAAGTCTAGGACTGAGAACAGTCCAAGTAAAAACATCCTAAACATAGAAATAAATGACTAAACAACAGCCAAACCCTTCCCTACTCCTCAAAATATCTCAACCAAATCCCTTGAGCTGCAAATATAAATGACTTACAGACGTAGATTATTAAAAAACCCAAATGTTAATTTGAATAAAAGGACTTACTTGCCATTTAATATGATAACAGAAGGATTGTAAATTTGTAACACAAAATCTGATGCCAGTTTTGTAACCCCAAAGATACTTACTGGGAAGTCAAACTTTGTTTTTGCTTTCAGCAATAGTTCAATTGCATCAGTATAAGTCAACTGCACAAAATTTTTCTCAGCAACATCCTGTTGACAACAGGAATATAGAAGAAAAGATCACTTGCACCATATGCAAAATATATCAGCATTTGAATATCAATGGCTGAGCAGACTAGCAACTCCTACACTTAATCTTTTGATGATTCCTTTCTCAATCCAAGTATTGAAGAATTCCATGTCTTCTTTGCAATTCTCCAGAATATATTGCACCTTTCATGAATTACATTAATATAGGTGAAGTAAAAAATACAAGTATATATTAATACATATTGCATTCATACAAATTCAAGAAAGGAGCGATGGATCTGAAAAAGTGACATACTACGTACTGGAGATATGCGGTCGCACATGACATGTCATCATCTAAGTCAGCAAATGCAAGTTCGGGCTCAATCATCTTTCTTGTACAATAATACACAAGAATTATTTTTTTATAGTAACAACTTCTAAAGTGAAAAAAAACTAGCAAGTCATATATTCCGTCCAAAAAAATGTGTTTAGTCGAGGTAAAACTTTTTTAACAATGGCAAGTTACAAAAGTCACAAAATCTTAAGTTCATCACATTTAACTTGTATGTAATTTAAAATTTTGTTTTTTTATTTGACTGAATTCATCATGTTTAAACCGTTTTTACTTTTTTTTTTTGCCAAATTACATAAAAGATTAGCTTTGTTTAATGAAACCTGACTCTTTTGGGGCAAAAAAAAATTGAAACAAGAGTATAAAATAAGCAATAATCGATTTAGTCTGAAGGGGGTACCCAAAATTCTGCCAGGTGCCTGGAAGTGTTAGAATTTTCTGCTCTGAATGTGGGACCAAATGTATACACCTGTGCACAAACCAAACAAATCCATATCTCATTCAAAAGGAAGTAAGGAACAGAAATGGTAAATTTGAAAAAGGTCCATGTCAATAGGAAATTTCCATTGACATGCCATAAAATAAATAAATAAATAAATAAGACTAATGCTAAAGGTACCCCAAAAGAGGGTTTCCCATTCTTACCCCGGCCTAATTGGCCCCACTTAAATGTGTTGCCCCATTTGTGGCCACACATTAGGCCGGGGTAAGAATGGAGTACCCCATTTTGGGGTACCTATAGGCTATAGCATTTCTCAATAAATAAAATGATGAATAGCTAAGAGAGTATACATCACTAAGAGCAGTTGCGTATGTTTCAGCATTGAGTTGTCCAGAAACTGTTAAAAAGGCTGGTTTCCCAAAAAAATCCTGTAATATAAAGATGCAGAACCATCTTTAAAAAATTAAAAAATACAAACATATTTATGAGGATAAAACCCTAGTAGGCTAGTACTAACAGAACTTAGCTTATCAGTGATCATCTAGCTGCTTTTCAACTTCATGGAGGAAAGGGTGAATGAATTAAACACATGAGTAATCTTTTACTTACTTGAGACCAGTCAACAGAACCAGATTCAGTTTTAGGGATATCATTCACTGGAGAGTCTTTAGGCTCTTTAGAGGTTGGGATCTGTCATGTAAACAAAGCCCTTATATTGTTATATGAAGAATAAAAGTAAGCCTATGATTGGCAAAAAACTGATAAGTTAGCTGATAGCGGATATGATAACTTCCAAGTTATGGCTACAAAACCATAAGTTACACAGAGTAGTAGATAAGCTAGATGATTTTATGGTCTCATATGGTTTGTAAAAACTACTCCCTCCGTCCCCTTTTAAATGTCCCGGAAGAGGGTGGCACGAGTTTTAAAAAAAGTGGGTTTGTGTGGTTGATAGTAATTGATAAAGTAAGAATAAAGTAAGAATGATTTTGAGCCACACAAACTTTACCTAATAAGGTATGAGACAATTAAATAGGGACATCCCAATATAGTTAAACGGGACATTTAAAAGGGGACGGAGGGAGTAGTTGATAAGCTAGTTTACAAATTTAAAGTATATGCAAAAGCCTACAAGGGTATGTTTAAAGTAATACCCTTTGTCCTTTTTCCTTTTCTGTCCATTCCAAAATTATCTAATCTTCTCTTTTAAGGAAGATTAAAAGGGGGGCAGGGAGTTAGAATAAAAGTGATGTTAAAATGGTACTGTATCCATAATACTTGTTTTAGCTTACTTGAAAAGGTACTCCATGAAGATAATTAAAAAAACAGGACTTATAGAAAAAGTCGGCTCAACCAAAAGAAACATGTGGAAAGATATCGATGAAAAAGCTAATAACTAGCTTACGACATGAAAAATATAGTCTGATACATATACTTTCAAAACACCAAACAAACAAACGGTAAGGGTTAGAACCTAGAAAAAGCTAGGGAAAGAAAATAGAATGAAATGATAAATAAGAAGGAAAGAAAACTTGGGGAAGATAAATGATTCAAACTCAATAAATTCATTTTAGATATTTTTTCAAAGTCATTTTATCCATATATTTGTAATATGCAAAAGAGACTAACAAAACTAACTATGTGTAAATTTTGGAAAAGTTTTTTTTAAATACGACTTCCCTAAGTATTTCTCAAACATAAAAAATTAACTACTCCTTCACTTTTTTCCTTTCCCTGCCATATGTTGGGTTACGAACATACAAATACACTTTCTGAATAGAGAGAATTTATTAAAATCAAAACTTGCATACCAAAGTTGTCACACAAAACTGTTCACCAGCTCCTTCACAATCAGAGGCAGTGACAATGGGACTTGAGACCCAAACAAAACCATTTTCTTGGAAAAACTTGTGTGTTGCATATGCCAAGGCATTCCTCACCCTTGCAACCTAAGAAAGAACTCACACAATCAAGACTGCAAAGTGGTGAACATAAAGTTCAACAAAGGTGGCATTAGTTGAAAAAGAAGTGAAGTTTTAGGCAATATAACATGTATACACTTGAGCCCAGGTACCACAGCAGCCCCTCTGGGTATGCCCATATGGGTCGAGATTCCGAGAAACCTTAAAAGATTGTCAAAAAGCACTAAACGCCCCTACATTGGACTGGTTTGGCTTTTCAGACAACTAATCAGCTTTTAGCCACTTTTGAGCCAAATTTCATTTCTTATAAGTCCTTGACAATTTTGTTATCCTTTTATGTATCATCTCAAATAAAAAACTATTGCATACTCTTACATACTCTTGAAAAGGAGTCATGGGAGCAGCGTCTTGTCAAAAAAAATGACAGGGGAAGGATTTACCCTTATACACCCTTGGGGTGGGACCCCTCCCCAGACCCTCACCTTGTGGGGATGCCTTCGTGCACCTGGCTTCCCTTTAATCTTATTGGTATTACACATTTAATCAGTCATTCCGCCCAAGCATATCACTTAACTATTAATTCAGCCAATACAATCAATTAGTATATTCAGTCATCAAGCATTTACCAAACGGGTCATAAGTTTAAGGCAATCTAGCAAAAAGACATATGTGGATCCACAACGTTGAATAAATCTTGAAAATAAAGCATGGGTACCATCCAACAATCAAGTCATACCGCACCAAAAGTATTTGTTCTAGGGCGAAGATGTGCCTTGGTTCTCAAAAATTCTTTACTGGCTCGCTTCTTCTGAATGGGGAAGGAAGGATCGCTTTTACCAACCTGAAAATTATCAAGAAAAGCAATTACGAAGAATTAAGGCTGTGTATGTGATGGGGAAATGGTAGGAAAGTCGGTATCTGAAGCAGTTATCAAAAATAGTTTTTTATGTTTGGTTGTACCTAGTAAGAATGGTGCTTCATTCTAGTGCTAACTGTATCAATTTTGAAATTACATTTCTTTTTTATTGGAATCATCTGATTCTCTCTCGGAGCTTTATATGAAGCACACATCATCATGTTCTCATGGGCACACACAAAAAAAAGCAATAAAAAGAAATATATATATATATAGTGGGTTTGAACTGATTTTTTACTTTTGCAGGAAAGATTTTCCTTCCAAATTTCCCTTCTGTTTTCTTCCCCCAACATTTTCAGGTTCCAAACTGATCCTAAAAGATCCAACAAGAAGAAAAGTGTGGACATTTGAGAAGGTAATGATGGATAAATCAAGGTATCAACTTGATGCCTACCATACAGTCCCACATTAGCCAACATTGTATATTGAACATATGAATTATTGTTGAATACAATGGGAGCTTCATACTTCCTAGTTCAATGCTCTAAGACAATATTGAATACCTACTAACTACCACATTTCATCACTCCAAAAAATCCTTGAAGTGTAATGTGACTTAGTCCAGAAAGTGTAGGGAAAAAATTGATCGTTCTATTGGGTGAGTTCTTATGATATAATCTTTGGAGTTCGGATAAGATATCAAGATATGGTTTGAGATTTTGATCTACTGCTACTAGTACTTTAGTAAACAATTTCGTTCTAGAATGCTAAACCACATCATAATCGATTATTTTTTTTAAGAAACCACATCATAATCGATATTCCACAGGAAGAGTGATTATGCTAAGAGCACTTGTTTTCTTTGTATCTTTTTACAATTTAGAATCCAAATGATCATTGAAAGCCTTAGTTTTGGCAATTTTGTCAACCATCTAACAGGGCCCAGTGACCCACCTAGTCCCTACGCTCGCACACAATGGAGATCTAGGAAAGGATATAGCATTTTGATGTGATCAAAATAGCCCGACATTACAAAAACCTAACCCATATGCAATTCAATTTTCGTTTGGTAATGTTTTTCCCAAACTGTAAAAATCTCAACTAAATAGAAACCAATAAAAACCAAAAGGAACAAAACTATAAAAAAACCAATATAAACTATGAAACCTGAATGCCGAAGTGTGAAGCCAAATATAAACGAAGAGAGTTGAGTTTGGTTTTAATCCAACAATTGGCAAGTATATGGAGTCAAATTGTATGACTCTAGCACACAGGGGAGGAACTCCACAAGTTGCTCAAGGCCCAACCTTCTACTGGCAATATATGTTTTTAGGATCTGTTCTTACATTTCTACAGTACTAACACTGTTCCCCTTTTTTAGTTCAGTCGTGAATTACTTTTTATTAAATTTCTCTTTGGAGAAGTGTACACTGTTATAGATAAAATGAAACAATCATGCAGTCATCATTCTCTATTGGCATTTGGCAATTACTTTCCATTTTAGGTTTATATATCAGATATTAGGTAAAAGCATATCCAAATAATAAAAAAGCACCCTACCAGTTACCAAAAAAAAAGTTTTGATATAACTAGTTTTCTGGGTTACTCCACTTGGAAGACAAGTAACCAAAAAATGACGGCAATATTATTTCAATTGTGTGATTTAAGGAGATGAAAAGGAGCTGGTTACCATTACAAGCTTCCCAACTTGCAGCTCTATTTTCTGTTTTGATCCTTGGCTGCGTACTATGGTGCCTTGTATCCACAATGATGCTCCTGTTAAGATGAGGCCATTCTCGACCTATTAAGCAACAACAATGCTTAAGGTAAATAAATTACAAAAATCACAACCTTCCAACAAAAGCAATGAAATACAAACACATATACACTTTGTTTACTTTTTTTAAAATATCAATTGTCAAGAGCAGCAACAAAGAAGCATCAGTCTTCTACAAGCTAAAAGCTTATACACAATGCACACGAACTTTGTCTGAAAAAACTCTTGAGCAACTATTATTAATATCACTCAACCGTCAGTCCATAAAGCTCCAAACTTTATACTCAGGTCCGCAATCAGTCACCTTAAAAGAATGACTGACTCCCTTTTGGGGAAAATGGATTATGGAATCATTCAAATAGGAGGTACGCACTTCAGAGACCTTTTATTACATCAATATAGGAAATACTTTTACTGAAAAATCATTAAACTACTTGGAACAAAAAATGGAGGTCTTTTTGGAACTCAGAAAAATGCTAGGGAAAACAATGGGGGGAGCATTTGTTCGGACTCAATAAATTTAGTTTTTCATATTCATTCAAACTCATTTTATTAACTATTTCAATGCAGTATCTGCAAAGACTAGTTAGTCTAAACAAATATGTAGATCATCATCATCATCACTACCCCAGTGCTGCAAAGGCTCCCACCTATGGTGGGGTAAGGAGGGGTCGGATGTACGCTGATAGAACACTGGATAAATCAGAACAATTTCAAACAGTATATCAATCTCAAGTAGTAAGAATTGAGAGAATTAGGGTTTATTGATCTGAGAACAAGAAACGAGTACAAAGAAATGGGTGGGACAGTTCGAGATGCCCAATCTCCTACAAGCCAGTCAACAAGTCTAACAGCCTGTCTAAAAATAGCTAACTCCTTCTATTTATAGTCATTTATCCACGCAGGGATAATAGAACTGACTTAACAGACTATTAACTACCCAACTTCCTATTTCTTCTTGTGTATACTCTGTCAAAATAATGAGCTGGCAGCTGCTCGTGTCTATCAATACTCCCCCCCTGAAATATCACCTTGTCCTCAAGGTGAAACTCTGGGAAGTAGTTCTTCATCTCCTGCACATTCTCCCAAGAATTCTCAAAGTCTGGCAGTTCCTTCCACTTAATCAGGATTTCAGTTTGCCCTTCTTTGTTTATTCTAGCCTCCAACGCCTTCTCAGGTGTTACTTGTAATTCCAAATCCTCCTTCAGGCATTTGGGTAAGGGTTGAAAGAAAGTGGTAGGGGATATCACCTTCTTTAATAAGGAAACATGGAAAACAGGATGTATTCTGCTTTCCTCAGGAAGTCTCAATCTGAATGCCACTTCACCTATCTTCTCCATTACTTCAAAAGGGCCATAAAATCTGGGGCTCAATTTCTGATTAAGCCTTTTAGCCAAACTCCTTAGCTTATAAGGCTGAATTTTCAAATATACCAAATCACCAACTTCAATCTGTATTTCCCTTCTGTGCCTATTGGCTTGTTGTCTCATTTGATTCTGTGCTTTAGCAAGATTCTCTTTTAGCTCATCTAGCATACAATTTCTCTGTGCAGTCAGTCTGGATACCTCTTCTACAGTAGTTAGATTGACATCACCTCTAATTACTGCAGGAGGTTCTTGTCCAAATAAGGCCTGATAAGGTGTTTGTTTTAAAGAAGCATGAAAATTTGTGTTGTACCAAAACTCAGCCCAATGCAACCATTTGCTCCACTGTCTTGGTTTGCTACCAGTCAAGCACCTTAAGTACGTTTCTAAGCATCTGTTGACCACCTCTGACTGGCCATCAGTCTGAGGATGATATGTTGTACTATATTTAAGTTGAGTGCCTGCCAACTTAAATATTTCAGACCAAAATGAGCTCATGAAGATGCTGTCTCTATCACTGACTATGGTTTTAGGAAACCCATGAGTTTTGACCACCTCCTTGGTAAAAACTTCTGCCACTTCTTTAGCATTGAAAGGATGTGAAAGTGCTATGAAGTGAGCATATTTAGTCAGTCTGTCAACTACTACTAGAATAGTGTCTTTCCCTTCAGATTTAGGTAATCCACCTATAAAATCCATAGTAATATCTGTCCAAATACTGTTAGGAATTGGCAGTGGTTGTAGTAATCCAGAAGGTTTCAAGGCCTGATACTTGTTTGTCTGACATACTGCACATCCTTCCACATATTTCTGTATCTGTTTCTTCATCCCTTGCCAATAAAACAAGTTTGATATCCTTTTCATAGTTCTGAAGTACCCTGAGTGTCCCCCCATGGCTGTGGCATGATATTCCAGCAAAATCTTAGGAATTCTGGTCGATGAACTAGGTAATACTAGTCTGCCCCTGTAATATAATAACCCCTTGGAGATCTTATAATCCTTGTACTGATCTGGCTGAGATATAATCTTCTGAATCAGTCCTTGACACTTAAGATCTGCTTTCAATTCTTCTTCTAAACCTTCCCACTCCTGGCAAGTAACAATGGATAAGGCTTTCAGATAAGGTATCCTGGATAATGAATCAGCTGCTTTATTTTCTTTTCCTGGCTTGTATCTGATAGTGAAGTTATACCCTAATAACTTTGATGTCCATCTTTGTTGCTCATCCCCCATCAATCTTTGCTCTGTTAGAAACTTCAAACTCTTTTGATCTGTATGTATCTCAAAAGGTCTTCCCAGAAGATATGGCCTCCACTTTTGAACTGCCAACACCACTGCCATTAACTCTCTTTCATAAACAGATTTCTGCTGATTCCTTTTTGATAATTCCTTACTCATATATGCAATTGGTCTTCCTTCTTGCATCAAAACTGCCCCCAGACCTGTTCCTGATGCATCAGTCTCTAGAATGAATACTTTATCAAAATCAGGTGTAGCAAGAACTGGTAGAGTAGTCATTCTTCTCTTTAATTCCTCAAATGCCAAAGTTGCTGATGGTCCCCATTGAAATTTATCTTTCTTCAAAAGCTGAGTTAGAGGTAAAGCAATGTGACTATACCCTTTGACAAATCTTCTATAATACCCAGTCAGTCCAAGGAAACCTCTCAATCCTTTTAAATCTTTGGGTATTGGCCACTGAACCATAGCCTCAATCTTAGTAGGGTCTGCAGCTACACCCTGACCAGAAATGATATGACCCAAATAGACTAACTGAGATCTGCCAAAAGAACACTTCTTTGAATTTATAACCAACTGATTTGCATTCAAGGCTTGTAATACTTTCCTCAAATGTTCCTTATGATCTGTCCTTGATTTACTGTATATGAGGATGTCATCAAAGAAAACTAATGAAAACTTCCTCAAATAAGGTCTAAGAACCTGGTTCATGAGGGCTTGAAAAGTTGAGGGTGCATTAGTGAGACCAAAGGGCATTACTAGGTATTCGTAATGGCCTTCATGGGTCCTGAATGCTGTCTTCTGTCTGTCTTCTTCTCTCATTCTGATCTGGTGATAACCAGATTTCAGATCCAGTTTGGAAAAAATCTTAGCTCCACCCAGTTCATCAAGCAGTTCTTCTATGATGGGTATAGGGAATTTATCAGGTATTGTGATTTTGTTTAAGGCCCTGTAATCCCCACAGAACCTCCAGCCCCCATCTTTTTTTCTTGCTAGAAGAATGGGGCTGCTATAGGGGCTGTTACTTGGTTGAATGATCCCTTCATTTAGCATCTCTTGTATAATTCTTTCTATTTCCGTCTTCTGGTACTGAGGGTATCTATATGGCCTCAGGTTTGGGATTCTAGCTCCTTCTTGTATCTTTATAGCATGGTCACAATCTCTCTTGGGTGGCAGTTTCTTCAAAGGTTGAGAAATAGTAGGAAATTCAGCCAGTATCTTTTTCCAAGTCTCCTCCTCTTCATTTTCTTCTTGTTCACTTTTGACATTGCCTTCACAGTATATGAAATACCCTTCTCCAGCATCCTGTAATATCTGAGTAGTTGTCTTGAAAGACACCTCCATTGAATTGAATTGTTTATCCCCTTGAATCAGCTTTTCTTCCCCATTTTCTTCCCACTTTATTGATTGCTTTTGGAAGTTAATCTCAACATCTCCCAAAGTAGTAAGCCAAGCCATTCCCAATACCATATCAGTGCCTCCCAACTCTAAGATATAAAAATCCTGTTGTATTGTTGTGTCTTGCAAACATACATTGAATGCCTCACATCTCGCATTATTGCATATCTTGTCCCCATTTCCTATCTGTACTTTATAACCATTGATGGTAGTGTAAGGAATCTCCAGTTTATCCACCATCTTCTGAGCAATGAAATTGTGAGAAGCTCCACTATCAATCAATACTTCCACATTTATTTCTCCCCATGCTCCTTTGATAATACCTCTGATTTTGAATGCTCTTAAAGAAGGAATACCTTCTTTGCTCATCAAGGATAGTTGCATGGATTTGGATTCCATCAAGATCTCTTCCTCCTCTGAACTATTATCTTCTGAATTATCTGAATCATCCTCTTCTGCTGAATCTTCTACCATGATCAACTTGTAGTGTTTTAGTTTACAAATATGTTGGTGATTCCATTTGTCTCCACATTTAAAGCAAAGTCCTTTTCTGCTTCTATTCTGATATTCTTCTTGAGATAACTGTGGGCCCACTTTCTTGAATGCAGAAGGTTGGATCTCTGTGATATTCTTCCCCATGGATTTTTCCCCAGAAGACTCTCCTTTGTACTGCCCTGCACCTTTTCCCATAGAACTGTACCAAGAGTTATTAGCCCGGGCTTTGTAATTATCTCCTTCAGAATGAGATTTGTTAACATAAGCACCCTTTTCTTTTCTCCCATATCTGTCTTCCTCCATTCTTTTCAACTGTATTGCATCATTTTTTTTTTCTATCAAAGTAGCCTTCTCCATAATTTCAGTCAAGGATTTTGAGACATATAATTTCAGTTCTGCTTTGATTTCATTCTTCAAACCCTTAATGAAAACACCCCTCAGCAGCTCTCTGTCTTTGTTTTTCTGATGAGAAGTCACCATTTCAAATTCATCTCTATAATCCTGTACAGATCCTGTTTGTTTCAGACTTAACAAATGATCATATGGATTCTGAATTAATTCTGGTTGAAACCTACGTATGACAGAGTTCTTTAGGGTCTCCCAATCAGTTACTTCAGTTTGACTTTCCCACACATGAAACCAGTTTAAAGCCCTGTCCTCCATTGCCACCATAGATGCTTCAACCCTTTCTTCCTCATCAATATTATTCAGTCTGAAATATCTTTCCATGCGTATAACCCAATTATATGCACCAGTTCCATTAAACAGGGGTAAGTCAATCTTCCTACCAGACTGTATAGGGTTTCTATAATCCTCATTTCTTCGTCTGTGATTTTGAACATGAGAGTGAGTAGAATTACCTCTGGAATGACTCGGACTACTTGAGTTTCTCGATCGATGAGTTTGTGGCGATCGCGATCTCCTTCTTTCGCGCCTTTCATCGTTCATCGTATCCAACTTCTCCGTTAGTTTCGCGATCGCAGCTTGCATCTGAATCAAGGTTTCTTGCGTCGTATTTTGGTTACGCTCCATCGCCTCCATCTTCTGTTCCATTTTTGCTCTGGTTCGAACCATTCACAGCAAGAACGGGAAAAAATTTCTGGTAATTCAACGAAGGATTAGGTCACCAGAAAGATGCTCTGATACCAATGATAGAACACTGGATAAATCAGAACAATTTCAAACAGTATATCAATCTCAAGTAGTAAGAATTGAGAGAATTAGGGTTTATTGATCTGAGAACAAGAAACGAGTACAAAGAAATGGGTGGGACAGTTCGAGATGCCCAATCTCCTACAAGCCAGTCAACAAGTCTAACAGCCTGTCTAAAAATAGCTAACTCCTTCTATTTATAGTCATTTATCCACGCAGGGATAATAGAACTGACTTAACAGACTATTAACTACCCAACTTCCTATTTCTTCTTGTGTATACTCTGTCAAAATAATGAGCTGGCAGCTGCTCGTGTCTATCATACGCAGCCTTACCCCTGTGCTTTAGTAAAAATCGCATCGAAAATTGCATGGACTGACTGTTGCTTCATAACAAAGAAACGCAAACAGTTTAGAGACCCATTTTGCTTTATTCCATTATGCAAATATGTAGATATTTTAGAAGAATTAATCATACTTAATTTTCTTTCGCATTTTCTATGCTAAAGCCAAACAATAAAATAACTTGTTTTTCCCTTTCCCTAGCATTATCCAAACATGCCATTTGATAAATTCCCAAAATCCTTAACTTCCAATAGTCCGTTTCCCAATTCTATAATCAAACCTATTGAGATAATGTTCTGAAATGCAGGGGTTGAATTCAAAGAGTAGTTCAAAGAAAAGTATTTCCTACACCATACTTAGTTTCTTAAGTTGCTAGAGATAGGTGGCAAAACAATCGATATGTACAGAACAACTATTCACACGTCCTACATTATTTATTCAATTTCTATTGGGGCTTTATCTGATCTCCTGCATTTTGGACCAAAACTCCTCACAACTCCAGATAGAACACTACACCTCAAGAGTTGTCAATAACACCAATAAAAACCAAATGAAAATATGAATGTCTCATTTGTACTACCTGATCATAGCCCTCTGCATCCGAGCTCATTACACATTGCATATTCGAAAGACTAGACCCGTCATTAATCTGCAAAAGCAAAAAAAAAAAGGATAGGACAAATCACAAATGGTGTGAAACACTAAAAGTTTAAAACTTTTCGACCAACAAATGCAAAATGAATTCTGCATTAGTAGGACAATATCAATACCTCTATAAATGTAATGCTGCTCTGAACTCTCACAGTCCGTACCCAACCTCGAATCACCAATGCCTCACCCAATCTGTCCAAACCCTCATCAGGACCTCCTTTGATATCCGCAATTCTAACTCTTTTCCGGAATTCCCTGATTTTGCTGCCTCTTTCAGTTTCTTGAGTCCCGAAACTCACAGTGAAAGGCCTCTGGATTGATTCGCTTGATGAAAAAGATGAGCGAACTACGGAGCAGAAGCTCTGGCGGCGACAGAAGAGCTGTGATGGTATGGGATAAGTGAGAGGCTTTGAAAAGAAACAGTGGTGGGTGTTGTGGACGGTGGCGGCTTTGGTGGTTCTGCGGCAGAGAGAGAGGAAGCGGACGGCAGATAAGGGGTTTAGGCTGAGGGAAGTGGTGGCTGGCGACAGAGTCATGGCGGCGACGTGGATATTACCAATTTACCACTGTCAGCGGCACTGGGTAAGAGTTGCAAGTTACAACTCGCAGGCTTGATACCACGTTACACAAACCAGTGCGGTAAACAAGGCAGGCTTGATAACTTATTTGTCTCCTTCATCAGTTGTGTCAAACTGTCAACTGCCTCACTCATGATTCATGAATCTCTTCTGCTATCACCAGTTTGTGAAGGAGAGCTAATTTTGTTCACCTCTCGTGGCTCTCGAATGAGGGCGTTCAGTCGTTCACCCCACCCTTTTGGTCTGTAATGTGCCAGGTTAATTCATTTGTTATAATTTTTTCATTAATGGTTCAATTTTAAAAAAAAACATATTGGAATTTTTATTTTTTATGATTTTTATATTGTACCAAAAATGCATTTTTTAAATAAAAGAATGACTAAAAATGATTTCTGGAAAAAATATATCTCTGTCAAATTTTTTCATGCAATATCAATATAACTGGAAAGATCATGAAATATTTAGTTTGATAAATTTTTACAAAATTGGATATAAATAAAACAATTTCAGCGATTTGAAAAACAAAAAAATGGAATGCCACATGATAACCAAAGAAAGAAGGGGGTGATCATCACCCTCTTTAAATGGTTCCGAATTATCTATCTGACTTTAACAGTCAAGTAGGGTATGTGACTTTAATAATCGTCTCATCCATTATTTGCAGTCATCTTATAGCTTTCCTCCCTCTTTGTTGTCGTTGATCTGCGAAAGACATCTATATCGTGTAGCAGAGGATCCAAATCCTCTTTAAAGGGAGTGAATGAAACTGCACTCTATGTTAATCCATATTTTCAACTTATTAGTTGTATCAACCAACTTTTCATATGTAATTTTAATTTCTTGCCCTAAATTGTGTAATGATCAATATGAGTAGGGTTAAAACTAATTTTCTAGTTGAATTGGTTGAAGTTACGTAAATGATCATTTTGGCTATTTTCGTATAATATTTTCTTAATTTTATAAATGCAATACATTTTGAATATAATATTTTCATATTCGGCTAATTCAGTCACTCCTGTTAGAATTTTATTAAGTTTACCAAATTAAACCCATAAAACTAATTTCGATGTTACCAAACAAGTATTGCGTTTTGATTAGTCTCTCCCAATCTAGTTATCAATGTTAATGATTTCAAATCCAAATATTTTTCTTTCAAAAAATCCAAATATTTAATTGTTATTGACAAACTAATACATTCATTTCATCGATTCAGTTTTTTCTTTTTTCTTTTGCCCCAATAATAACCACCATATTTGGTGGGGTAAGAATTGAGAAACTCTTACTGGAATTACTAATATTATAAGAAAAGTACAAAATGTTGATAATTGAAAAAACTTTAAAAACAAAGCAAGAGAGTGAACTAACAAGAACGCTAAAGATGAGAAGCATTATTAATCAGTCAAGTTTGAGGAAGCGGTCTAGTCCAGCTAGTCGCCGACTCACTCTCCCTTATGGGAGTCCCCGGGTTCAATTCTTAATGGAGTGAGATTGATCCCAGTTTACCTTAGCCCCCCCCCCCCAACCCCAACCCCCCCCCCCCCCGACGCCCCCTGGGGTAAAAAACAGAAAAAATTAATCAGTCAAGTTCAATGACGGATTTGTACTGATCTAACTCCAATGTTGTTCCATTTTCTTCCTTTTTTGGAAACCACCGTTGTAAACCTTCCTCATTTGGTATCTCTATCAATTTCTCTTTTGGTGGACTTCGAGGAAGAAGCCCTCCTTTTTCCATGGCCTTTTTTTTCAAATTTTGATTGATATTTGACTGGTACATTTGAAAGTCTACTTTTAATTCAACCAAGAAACCTTTATACTCCTTTCAATTTTTCTTATAATTTAATAAGAGTTAATATATTCACTTTACATATATTTTTCTGTATACAAATAATAAACAAATAAATATGTTTCTATTAATAAATTTGTATTTTTATTTTTAAATAGTTTATAATTTTCACATATTCACGCAATTCATTTTGGAAATCAATCTTGAATAAATATTATTTTTACTTCATTTGGTTAATATAATGAATAAAAAAATATTTTTTAGATTTTGATAAATTAGTATGTTATATGTCATGACTTCCCAACTACTAGTCATGATATATATTTTGGAATTGTGAAGTGAGAAGGTAAAGAGATCTGAAGGAGTGTTCTTATTTTACATGTCACACAAACACCTTTCTACCTTTTTAAAAAGAGTGCAATTTCTTTTATGAATTTCTTGTATGCATAACTAACTAAGGGCGTGTAAAAAATGTGTACAAACAACATGTACAAATAGACCTTTTATGAAGAACGGTAAATGTGAAATGAAAGACAATTCATGTACCGTACACTTGGTGGTACATCGATCACTATGCTGCAGTTTAGTCGACCTAAGTGTGAGTTTTAAAATTTTCATTTTTCAAATGTTTAGTTCATGAGTACTATATAAGTACTATATAAAGTAAGTTTGAACTATAAAAAATGGATCAGAATAAAACGCCAAGGTATGAAGGGTTTCTGCCATCAATTTCTTATACTCTTCTACAATTGAGCAACTTCGTCTAATCCAACCTTGTAAACTAAAGAATGGATTTTTCCTTGAATATTACTAATAAAAATGTCATGGACAAAAATGTGACTTAATAACTATTCATCCATCACATTTCAAAGAGTAATATTTATGGAAATACCGATGAATTAGCTTGACTGCTTGAATTATATTCCGTGAAATAGTAATCACAGAAGTTTTTTAGAAATTGCACAATATAGAATTAAACACATTCACAAAATTCAAAAATAGATTTAAGTGTGTTTTATTCCCCAAATAGGACTTATTTAGCCCTATAAAAAGAATAACTTGATTAAAATTTCCCAAAATATGAGTAAATGAGTCATATTTTGTGAATAAAACATTGATGGTCCTATTTATGAATTTTTTTTCATGTTTTAGTCTTATTTAGAGAACTTTCTCGCTTTTTAACTGTTGTTGACTCATTCCTAACTCATCTACCTAAAAAGTATCACATATAGGCCCCGCTTGTTTTCCAGTGAGTTGGTGCATGCACGTTGCAAAGTGCAGCGCTTTGTAGCTAAAAATCAGCATATTGACTAAAATGTTGTTACTATACCCAAACAAGCCACAAATGCTTACTTAGCTTCTAAAAATATTGATAATGTGTGGCATTGCCTACAAGTCACACCCAATATATGACAACATATTTCAATGTTTTCATGGTATTTGTTCGCCAACGTGGAAGCATCATCATGTCATCTTCAATTTAAAAACAACCTTTCATGTAACGCTATCTCAACTTTCCTTTTGAAACTTTATTTTTCACTTCAAATTAAAGTGAATGGCCTCATGGCTGATAACAACTAGAGGTGTTTGGATTGTGTGCTTCACTTATTTGTTTGTATGTCTTTACTTCTTCTGGTGATGTTGCAGCGCAAGTAACATAGTTCTTCTTTTTAATACACTTTCTTAAATTGAATTTCAACAATATTTTCATTGATATGCATAGAGTAAAATTTAATCATAAAATTGATCTAATTATTAAATACTTTGAATGATTATATATATTGAAGCTTAGAACAACTGAGAAAGAGAGAATTAGACTTTTTGGCGTCAATAATTTGCTAATGGAAAGAAGGGGTGCTCTTTATACTAAGATCAAAGAACTTGAGGATCTGTTAGCCAAAAGGGACCAAACAGATCAGACTATTTTCTTTAACCAGCCTAAGGACACTCGTTTCTATAACGCCAAAGAAGGCTTGGGTTTGACCAATCCTCAGAACCTGAAAAAGGTCAACTGTAGACAACTCTATGATGTTAAATACATGAAAATAGGATTGACCAAACTCATGGCCTTCACTGGTGCTGAAGAAACGAATGCCCTTGAGGATGAAAAGAGAAAGACAAAGGCTGGTGTCGAAGTCCCTTTTGACTACACAGAGTTGAACAAGAGTTACAAAACCAAAGAACCCCCGCTAACATCTGCTGATGAAGTCATAACTTATGCTCCTGAAAAGGAAATTGTGCAAGATGGAGAGGAACCTTCAACTTCAGAACCTGTAGTCAAACCAGCATACATTCCACCTCTTGTGAGGAAGTTTGCTGAGTTAAAATAATCTTTTGAAAAGGAGAAACAAGTTTTAGAAAAGGAAAGAGATCAACTTTTGAAAGAAATATCCATGTTAAAAACATCCTCTCAGTCCATCACAGTTTCTCAACCCTCTTCCCTTTCTTCCCCAGAAAATTGTTTAGAAAATCCAACCAACGGTTCTAAAACTTCTTCAACTCACTCCGAGTCTCCTTCTCCGAAAAGGAACCAAGTGAATAAGAGAGTAAAGAAGAGAGGTGAGTGGATCGAGGAGAAGTTGAGAAGAAGGAAAAGAGAAGAAGAGTCTCATCTAGGAAATAAGAATCAGCGTTCGAGTGCCTTGTTTTATGCCAAGAATAAGTCTAGATCTGGCATTAGTGAGCTTTCAACTAGTAATACTAGAAGTGGTGTTCCTAGGAATCTCCTAAGTGAACCCTCGACTAGTAATGCTAAAAGAGTGGCTCCTAAGTTTTCTAGTTCTAAGACATCTGTCAAGAATCGCTACTCTAGTGCTTGTTCTCTGAATTGTGTTTAGCCAATGAAAGTTTGCTGTTTTGAGCCTGCTTCCTCCTCCATCAAAGATAAGAATGTGAATGTTCAGAGATGCCCAAAGAAATCAACTGCTGTGAAGGTGAACTTTGAGGGAGAGTACAAATTGCCGTGTTTAAGGTATCCCCTCAAGTTTCGCTCACTTAAACATTTGAGAAGGCTCTCTCAGGAAACAATTTTAAAAGATCATCTGTCTGAACATTCACTCACTGTTAACGAAATCTCTCTCGCTCCAAAGCTCAAACAACAATGGGTTCCTAAGGCCGAAGCTGAGAAACTAAGAACGTCGAATCCTTCTCAATCAGCTGGCTTAGGTTCCCACATCAAACAAAAGTTAAAACAACTCTTCACCACTAATAAGGATGGACCCATCTGGAGGTGGGTACCAAAACACACTTAATCTGTCTTGCAGGTCCGTCATGTGTGGTACCTGATTCGATTGCTCCACACACATGGCGGGTGAGAAGAGCTGTGAGCAATCAACTGGTACACATTATTAAGGGGGAGTATTGGCATGTATACTACCCCACTGAGCAGAATATCAACAAATGCACACCTCAACACCAACACATGCCAAGAAGAAACAACAAGTGCTTATTCTGAG